GTGCCAGCATCCCATATGGGCACTGGTTTGAGTCCCAGCTGCTCCACTTCCAATCCATATCTCTGCTATGGCCTGGGAAAGCAGTAGAAGATGGCCCAAGTGCTTGGGCCCCTACACCCATGTGGGAGACCCGGAAGAAGCTCCTGGCTCCTGGCTTCAGATTGGTGCAGCTCCGGCCATTGTGGCCAATTGGGGAGTGAACCAGCAGATGGAAGGCCTTTCTCTCTCTCTCTCTCTCTCTCTCTGTATAACTCTGACTTTCAAATAAATAGATAAATCTTTAAAAAAAAAAGACAATTTCTTAAAAAAAAAAAAAAAAGATGCCGAGCAGACATGGACACCCACAGCGGAGGCTCAGGCTGGCGGGCTGCTCTGAGCAGGGGCTGAGGGGTGGGTGGGCCTGGGAGGAAAGGAAGATGGGCAGGCCCAGAGGAGGGGGGAGGGAGATGGGGCGGGGGCGGGGCCGGCTCCCACCTTCGGCCAGCAGGACTGTGCCACAGGCCCCCTGGGAGGGCCCCAGGGTGGAGTTGTAGTGAGGGAGGCACATGGGCAGCTAAGGAGGGCTATGGAAAGTGAAGGACACCGGGCTGTGGCTGTCACCTATCAGGAGCCCACAGGGTCTGAGCACAGGTGTACAGAGGGGTGGGCTGACTTCTGGTCTCTCTGGGACACACAGATCCCATGGGAGCAGGGTGGTGTAGCGCCCAGCATGGGGCAAGCCAGCAGAGGAGTAAGAGCTGAGGAAAAGGAGGATTGTGCACGGTAACCCCGGAAAGCTCTGGGTAAGACACAGCACCCACGTCAGACATTCACACGTGTCATGTCGGCTGTGTAATATGGGGGGGCGGGGAGGCCAAGACCAGCGGGCCTGGGGTGCTGCACCTACTGTGCAGAGGGAACTACGCGTTGGGAACCCACTCTGCCTGCGACTCCAGTCCCTGTGCCCCTAGACCCTGGTGGGGCAGAGCCCGTCCTGTTGGCTGTCACCAGACCCTGCAGAACTCCGTGGCCCTGCTGGAGGCCACAGATGGGGCCACTTCCAAACAAGGCTGCCTGTACTCTGCGGGCTACATCTGCCTCTCAAAGGCTTATCCTGAAATGTGCTTGGCTCCAGACCATTTCATTTTCATATCTTTGAGGAGAAGAGTTATAAACAAGGCCAATGCCTCGAGCACTGAGCAGGGCTGGGAGCGCTGTTAATACCAAGTTTGTCTATGGCTGCTCTGGGAGGCTGGCCAGGCTCAGGTTAGTGGCATTCCTGGGGCCTGAATTAGGAGTCTTTATGCAATCACAATCCGCCCTGACATCTAGGGTAGCTTTGTTTGCACGAGGAATGCAGGGAAGGCACAGGGCAGAGGGGCGTGCTTGTGCCCAGAGCCTCAGCCACTGTGCTCCGTGGCCTGTGGTGTTTGCTGGAGAGCAATGCCTTCAATGGGCATTCAGCAGGCCGGCCTCAGACAGCCTCCAAGGGGAGACTTTTCTCATTAGACTCTGCTTTCCATAAAACAAAGCCAAGCTGTTCTGCAAAACCTTTGTACTCAGCACAGCTTCAGCACAGGGGTGCACAGAGCTAGGAGCGCCCCTCAATTCCAGGCCCCTTGGAGCCCTAATCAGTGCAACAGGCAAATTTGTTCCTACAGGGTCTGGCCATGACTTCTGAGCTAGAAGTGACCCAAGTCCAATTCAGAAAGGCCTGTGTGGGTGACAGGTGTGAGGGACCTGGTCTGCTGGAGGCGGCAGTGGGCTCAGCCCTGCGTGGGCTTCCCTCCTTCCTGCTGTGCCCGCGGGGGAGGTGACATGAAAGGCAGTGGGAACCTGCTCAGGCTCCCTCTGCGGGTGCCTGCCTCATTCTGCTTCTAGAGGGCCACCAGGCCTCTGCCCACACCACACTCACGTGCGGGCAGGTGAGAGCTGGAGCAAGGACCGTGCCTCCACACGCTGGCCTGGTGGGCTCACTTCCAGGCCTTTCCCACTCCCAAGTTGGCCACTAAGGGAATCCTGACAGCAGCGATTTTCCATCTGGGCTCCAGCACAGGGAGCGCTCGGGGTTTCTCCCTGCTTTACCTGTGTCCGATGTGCCCATGGAAGCGATCTGTGTGAGACCTTGGGGTGAGTATTTGTGCTCCTTTCTGCACCTGTTTTGGGGCTTCATGGCCTGTGGGACAGTCAGCACCTGTGAGCCACTTCCCCTCCACGGTGCCTCTGCCTACCTCCTCACTCAGCACGGCCCCGTCTTTAGGCTTGGGACACTTTCTCCTAATGTCTCCACGGGGATGGAGGATGCAAGCGTCCTGGCTGGTCAACGCTGGATCTAGAAGGGCCTGTCCAGGAGCATCCTGCAGACCCACTCGGGACTTTGTCCCTCTGGGGCAGAGCAATGCATACAGAAGCTTCTCTAGGTGGACGGAGCTCCCGGGGCGGGGCGGGGGGGGGAGCTGGCTGTGGGCGTCTGTGTCCGACCCCCCGAGGGCTGTTAACAGGGCTCACGAGCTTGTCTGTGGAAGCGCCAGCCCCTGCACCCAGGAGGCGCTCACCTGAGGCCACGGATGTCCCTGCGGCCTGTGCTCCGAGCCGCCTGGCCCTTTCCTGGCCCACCCTGGTTCCGTGCTCCTGGGAGCTGCCGTCTCCTCACCCTTCTACCCTCAAGTTCCTCTCCTGGTTCAGTGCTGACAGGCCGTGCGCTGCTCAGCAAACGCTCTGAGCTGCTGAAGAGACTCGGGCAGCTCACCGTGGAGCCATTAGGAGAAAGTTCCCAAGCTGAAAGGCTCCTGAGACCTGGTCCCCGCACTGGCACTCCAAACCCCCCTCTCCCAGCCGCCTTGCTGCGCCCTGTGTCTGCTCTGAACCCTGCGATGCTGGGGCTGGCGTGAGCGAGGGGAGGCGGGTAAGGAAGGAACTGGGACCTGTGCGGTGCCGGTCCCTATAATCTCAGCACAGCAGTAAACAGCCTCGGGAGACAACTGTCTGGGCTCACACATCCTCCACGCACCGGCTAAGGCCCTGAGGAAATGACCTAATCTTGGTCCCTCAGTTTCTCCACCAAAAAAAAAAGGGGTGGGGGGATAATTGAGCCCATCTGTAGCAAGGCCAGAACCACGGCCAGCCAGCCCCACGCCAGGCCACTTGATTCTCCTGCACGGGATCTGAGCCAGGCAGGCAGTATGGTCCTTCGCAGTTCGCAGGAGAGGCAGGATCAGCGCCGTATTTACACCGGAACACGGTCGACATACTTCACATGGGATTCTGTCAACCATGCAGAGCAGGGGACCTTACTTTGCAGCCGTGGCACAGACTCTTCAGGCAGTGTCCACTGGTCCCCACCCAGTTCCTGCTTTCATTCCGGCGAGTGAGAGCACTGAGTGCCAGGTGAGGCGCTGGAAACCAGGATCCCTCTCGGCAAAAGGATGGTTTCCTGGCCTCCACCTCCTCCATCCGCTTGCGACAGACTCTCTTCCCTGAGTTTAGATGCTCAGAACCCGCTGGCTGACTTACGGCAGGCGCCCTCACGGCAGAAACAAGGCAGGGAGCCGACACTGTTTACTCACACTTCTCCTTCCCAGGTCAGAAGCGAAGGGTCCACCCTCTTGCTATTTTGAGCCGCTCAGAACCGCAAATACTTGTAGAGGGGACTTCGTTATGGTCAGTTTAAAAGCTAGAGGTCTCCCACAACACCCCATGTTTCTGCCGCCTCTTGGAAAAGCAGATGTTGTGTAAAGCTGCTCCCCACACGGCAGCGCCGGGCCGGGCGAGCAGTCGGGTAGAGGCTGCTGCTCTCTGCCTCCCTCCACAGCACTGTCTCTCATGCTACAGCCCACGGTCAGCTGCGATGTATAATTACGCTTGCCGCCGCCGCCACTGCCGCCGGCTTCCGAGAACCACCGGCCGCACTCCTGTCGCTCGCTTGGCTCCTTGGACACGTAGATTTGTGACCCTGCTATTACAGAGGTGGCCATGAACCTGCAGTCCTATTTTAGGTGTCTTTTGAAAAGCTGTGGCATGCAAGGGTCACTTCTCCTTTTAAAGGGATTCTAGGTACCAACAACCTGGCCAAAATATTGACTCTTGCAAGCTTTTTTTTTTCTTTTAGAAAAAAGGTTTTAAAAAATGTTAACTGATGCATACAAATTGTATGCGCTTGTGGGTTTTTGAAGGGTTTGAAAGGAAGCTGTGTATGGAATGTTCTAAGGAGGCAGGACGAGAAAGGCCACCTGTCTCCTCCCTCCACACCTGGACAGGTTCCTCCAGACCTGGGGAGGTACTTTGAGCTCTAGAGGCAAGAATCAGGGGTTCTACCAGGCGGGATGCACAGCAGGCTGGACACTGGCACCCCCTCCGTCAGATCTGCGGAGTGGAGCTCCCACCTGGCCTCTACATGGTCCCTGGCCAGGCCTCCCCTTCCTTCCCCACCTCACCCCGACTCCCGCTCCTGAGCCTGCGCCACCCTCCCAGACATGGATTCTGTGCTTTCTGGCACCAGGGATGTCAGTTTCCTCAGTACGTCGCTCTCATCCACATCTTGGGATACACCCCCAGGTCTTTACGAATTGCACTTGTTTTCTGAATGTTCTGAAAAGTGAAAGTCACCAGAATGTGTGCTGTCAGTGGGGGCAACAGCAGAGGCTCTGAGCCCTTGAACGTGGGGAGGAGGCAGCCACGGAGCCGTAAATGGCAGCTCCCCGTGGAATCCCGGGGAGCCTGGAGGCCCGAGCTGTTGCCACAGCAGCCCCACAACAGCCTGCAAACACAGTCACCTTTGAAAGCAGACAGTTCCCTGGCAGCCCGGCACAGATTTCCCGGGCTGTGAAGAGCTATGTTTGGACGGAGATTAGCTTATTCGAGAGTGAAAGATTAGAAGGCTACGGAGTGGCAGAAGCCAACAGGGTAGCAGAGCCACAGATGGTGGGGGCTCTCGGAAGGGCCCACAGCCCTGCTCCGTCACCCGCCTGCCGCCCTGTGGGGGTGGCTGTGTGTGGGACAGGAGGGGAGGAGGCTGCCCTCACCTTGGTGCGCGGGCCTCGGAGAAGCAGCGGCGGCGTGGGCAACGGAGTGCGCGGAGTCTGCCATCTCCTCCTGAGTGAGGTTTCTGCCCAGGACGATGAGATGCGCCTGCCAGGACCGATGGAGAGACGTGCTGTTTACGGGCTTGGCAGCCGCCGCAGCGGGCTAACTGCCCTCACAGCGATAAGCAGGAAGCCAAGGCGATGCCCACTGAGTGGGGAGGAATGACTGACATGGTGCCCGGTCAAGCCCTGGGAGAGCTGGCTTCTCAGAGCAGTGTGTGCGGCAGAGGGCACTGGAGGCTGAGTCCAGCTGCCACGGTGCTGCGGCCAGGGCCCACGACCAGTGCATCATCTGAAAGTCTCAGATCCTCGGAGTCAGCAGAGAGGAGGCAGCCTCAAGAAGTCACGATGTCATCGGTCAGCCCAGAAAGTGGGCCCTACCCCCGGAGTCAGCAGCCTCACCCCTGGACATACAGAGCCCTCCTGGCCGGATCCACCAAGGCCACCCATCACGCCCTCTGCACACTGCCCCTTGGGGGGCTCCCTGGGCACAGAACACAGAGCTGTTCCTTGAAAATAAAGTCCATTTAAACATTCTGCAACCGACAAACACTGTGAATCTATGACTACAACAACAATCCTTGCAAATAAAACACAGAACACATTTCCTTCAAATAAAAACATAGTTCCATCCCCTGTCCCCTGTCAATATGACATTTAAAAACTGTATCAGGCAGGGACCTGGCAGGGCACAGGCGCTGCCCAGGAGACACCGAGTCGTGACCCTGGCCAGCCTGGACCCCTCACGTGGACCAGCAGGAGATGCGGGGGACTTTGGAACACAGTGATTCCGTGGCCACAGATAACTCATGTCTCTGTATTTTGGAAATAAAACAACAGCTGTCTCAAGAAAAGATAGAAAAAAGAGTAGTATTAGTAGCGTGTTTTCACCTGCCCCATACACAGGTACTTGGAGATGGCCGGCTACAGGAGGGGCCTGGCTACAGAGCATGTGGTATAGAACCGTAAATAGAGAAGGAATATAATAGCCTAATGTAAGGCTGCAGGGAGCCCTCCCATCTGATTGCCGAGAGACAACGAAATACTAAAACCCCGAGAGCTTGAAGGAGGGAAACACTGCAACAAGTGCGATGCAAGCCGCACTCTAAGTTCTGCTCGTGAAATCACTTTTAGTCTTCCTGATAATTTTTAGGATCCTCACTTTATAGATGAGAACACGGAGACCGATGGCCAGGTGACCCGCCCCAGGTGGATGCGGATAGGGTTCTCACCTTGATACTCCCACTTCAAGTTCTGCTTTTCCTATCATGCCCTGCCCCCAGCCCATAGTGCCAGACAGTACTAATTGATGCCGGCACACTCCCGCCAGCGCCCTGATTCAGCCTCCAGGAGCTGCGACTGATCTGTGGAGCTGGCACAGAAGGCAAAGCCATCCCAGCAGAACGTTCTAGTCAGCACCGAGTGCTGCTTGTTCCTCTGATGACCAGCTGACCGTGCTGCTGAGACGGTCATGGGGGGGAGGGGTCATCTTTGACTCTGTCACCTAATTTGTCACTGGTTAAAATCTGAGCTACTAGCTCAAGATTTTTTATATTAGGGGCTAGTCCAAAGTATGATTTCTTTTTCTTTATTTTTAAAAAAGTTTTATTTATTTGAAAGACAGAGTTACAGAGAAATAGAGAGAGAGAGAAACAGAAAGATCAATCTTCCATCTTTTGGCCCACTTTCCAAGTGGCCTCTACAGCTAAGGCTGGGCCAAGATGAAGCCAGCAGCAGGGAACTCCATCCAGGCTCCCACATGGATGGCAGGGGCCCGAGCACTTGGCCCCACCCTCCACTGCTTTCCCAGGTTCATTAGCAGGGAACCAGGTGGGAAGAGGAGCAGCCAGGATTTGAACTGGCACCTGTGTGAGATGTCAGTGTAGCAGGCAGCGGCTTTACCCCTCTGGGCCATGGTGTGGTTCCCCAAACCATGATTTCTGGTAACATCTTTTATTGCCATGTTAGGATGGTCAGAATTTCTTATTCGTAAATGCTAATCATATCCTTTGCCTTAAACCTACCTTTCTTTTTATAGAATATCAAAAACTGAGAAAGAGATGTGGCAATTCCAAAAGCAGTCATTGTCCTTGACTTGGCATCAAAGGGGTGACCCTAAACTCCGACTCGAAATGCTTTTCAAATGATGAGTGCTCTGAAAGCAACTTCACTTATGTGCAGACAATAGGGCCAGGGACCAAGTCAAATTACCAGGTGTACAGTGTTTGGAGGTGGGGGAGAGGAAATACCTTCCCCCTTAAAGAGGGAGAGGGAGGGAGGGAGACCAGATGAAATTGAGTCCTGAGGACTCTGTTTGACCCTGGGTTAACTGTCTCTAAGAGCCATCATTTTAGGGGAACACTGCAGGGTGCCAGCCTTTCACCTCATGTGGTTACAAAGACTTAACAGGTAGTGTTTTAGATAGACTAAACTTGAATTCAAAAAAAGACTTCATATTTCATTGCCGTTCAATATTATAATTCAGAGAAATATCATGGATATGTGCTCAAATGAACGATTACATATTCTGAAGGTGCTGTAAATTGCTTTTGCCTTGGAAAAACAAAGCAAAGTTTTCCAAGAGCAAAAACACCCGCAGTATCAAGAAAGTGGGCACTGAAAGCTTAAAGGGATCTGAATTTAACCACATGGTTTTCATGACCTCAACATTTTTCTGTGTGAGATGCTAATCCTGCATAAGCAAACATTTATTATTCATTATTCATTCCAGAAACTCAATCCCTGATCTAATCTATAATGTGCTGTTCATGAGCTTTCAAAAACCACAGGCCGGAGGGAGGGGACCTGCAGGGGGACACCCATGATGTTTGAAACTGCAAAATTAACATCTTGCTTACTGACTAAAATGCAGTTCAATCCAGTTTAATTTAATTCCAACCCATTCAATTTAATGCATTTTCATTTTCAAATGCTTTCTATATGCCAGATGTTGTGTTAACACTAGGAATTCACACACAAAACAATGAGACAGGGGTTTTTAGTTTTAAAGGAGCTCACGCGCGGGATGCTCAATGTGGGACTACAGACACCGCCTGTACCACACGTCAGCGCCCGGCTCACTGTTCTGCTCTACCCTCCTGCTCTCATCACGCTCAGTGATCCTGTGCCTACCATCCAAGAAAGGCATGGTGGCCATAGACAATGGGCGGAGCCTGGCAGCCCACTCACCTGCTCTCCACTGGGCTGCCAGGGAACTGCCACCATAACGGGCACCTTCCTCTCCCTTCCCACATTCTGAGGAACAAAGCTCGCTGCTGACCTGGTGACTGATCAGGATTATGTCTAGACAGACAAATAATGCTTGCTCGGAATTCCAGGGAAATGACAGATCAGAAGACCTGTCCAGGAACTTGGCCGTCCACCATCAGGTCCAAGGGACCCATAACCAGCTGGCTTCAAGGTAACCTTGGAAACCTGCTGGACAATCCACTGAGTTCATTATCTCCCCCAACTCCCCCAACCTGCTGGCTCCCCTGGCTCTCCGCAGGAGCTGGCACCTGCAGCCTGATGGCACTCCCCCCTCCTCAGTGTTCACTCACCTCCCTGGGTGCCAGCTGCCCTGCAAATCCTTTGTTGTTTTCAATGGATTGCTGTGATGTGCTATGGACAGGTATCTCAGAACCCAGGGGGAATACGTAGTGTCCCCAAATCTCTTGGGTTGCTTGCGTGTTAGACTGCGTTAAATAACAACAACAACAATAACAAAACCTCTCATCCCACACTGTACAGCGTCATTGATAGAGAAAACTCATGTGCAAGTCTGAACGACATCAACCCCTGCCAAGGCACAGAGCAGCTCTTCTGTTCTGGGCTGTGTGCGTTTCTGGGGGAGACCACCGGTTCCTCATCCCTGCTCCAGCCGTCCCGAGCCAGAGTCAGCCGACTCTTATCTAATGGGGCCTGTGCCCTCAGAGTTGTAAAATGTTCAGTATTTCTTGAAGGGAAAGGCTGATGACGAATCAGAAGGATTAGAGAGCATTTCTGCTTGTGTCAGCCTCATGTAAAACACAGCGGGGCACCCTGGGAGGGGCCTGTGCAAGGCATCCCAGCCCTTGGGGCCACAATGGGGCAGGGGCAGGGGCACAGACACTTCTTGCTTCACGATTAGGGGACCACTTAGGGACATCTCCCCTACAGCCGAGTGGAGAGTAAGCACACGCGTAGCCCAAGGCATGTCTGTGGACTTACACTGACCATATTTACCCTGGAGATGAGAGGAGTCTCCAGCTTGGCGATAATTAGCCAGGGTCTCTCCGTACAGCTCCAGGCTAGCACCAGCATGAGAGCCAACACTGACTAGGTGCCCACTTTTGCCAGATGTGGAGCTCAACAGATGATACCCGCCAGCTGGCGTTACCTCACGATGCCCAAGGAGAGGGAAGTTACAGGCCCACTTACAGATCGGGAAAAGAAGCCTGGGGAAGGCTGTGGCTACAGGCCACACAGCAGTCAGTGCAGCGCAGCTTCGGACAAGGCCTTTCATTCCAAACTGCAGGCTTCTCTAGCTTAACACCTGGCTCTTGTGAGGGCAGAGGTCACAGAAAGATGGGGTTCTCGTCCCCCATCTCATCATAGTGAAGGAGGCTGCTAAAAAAAAAAGAAAAAAGGACACTTTGCCCAGAAATGGAGCAGCCTGGCCGGGGGTTGGGGGCAGGGTGGGATGCCACAGTGTGGATGCCCAGGCAGCTAGCGAGTGCCTTACGAGGACGCCACAGAGCGCACGGCGCAGTGTGATGCGAAGGTGTCTTCTACCAGCAGTGCACGCTTCTCATTTGGTTCAAGTTTGTGCCGACTCCCCCTGCAGCTCGAGTCCACTTGTCCTTGTGAGGTGGAGTTACCCAGCTTCATTTATAACTGACCAGCTGGGGAGCCGCATTGCTTTCCCTCTCAGCCCTGCCAAACTGGCCAACCTGCCCTGCGGTTTGCAGCGGAGGCCCTTACGCAAGCCAGGGTCAGGTGGCAGCCCGAGGCTGCCACTTCCCTCTCTCTCCCGTTTCTGTCCAGCAGGGAAGCCTTGCGTGCCCT